GATAGAAGTGGCCAGAAGACGAGGAAGAAGACGTAAGAAGATGCTGGATGACCTTGGGGACAGAAGAGGATACTGTCATTTGAAGGAGAAAGCTCTAGATCGCATTAAATGGAGGAATTGTTTTGGAAGAGACTGTGTACCTGTCGTCTGACAGATTACAGATGAATGAATGAACCCTTCCAGCCGCACTATGGCCCGGGGCTCGACTCAGCCTCTAACAGAAATGAGTGCCATGAATCTTCCTGGGGGTAAAGGGCGGCCGGCGCGTAGAGCTGACAACCTTACCGCCTCTTGTGAGCCGATTGTCTAGAAGAGGTGGGAACCTCGACGTCTCACAACCCTATGGGCCTTCACGGCCTGTTACAGGAATAGCTTTACTTTACTTTTTACACACACACACACACACACACACACACACATATATATAAAATTGCTGCCAGTTAACGGTCCCTGGGGACGAAGCAGGGACTGTGGGCGGTCCGGGCTCCTCACCTGAAAGGGAAACTGTCCTGGCGCCGCGTCCGTGCCGTTCACTATCCTGCCGCCCCGCGCGATGTCCGCGTCCCCCGGGGCACCTGCAACACGAACAGCAAACTCACCACCGGTTTGTCCCCTCGCCTCTCGCTGTGTCTCTACGTCTCTCCACTCATAACATGGCCATCAGATCTGCTATTTCACTTTTTCACTAAATATTCCAGTTTTCACTAATTTTGATAGCTGAGTTGGTACAGTGACAGGCCGAGGACCTGGGGTTCGAGTCACTTCTCTACTCCACGTGTCCAGATCGGCTCTGGGGCCCACCTAGCCTCACCTGTAGCCGCAACAACCAGACCGCTGAGCAGGGTGAGAAACAGCATCGTGACAGAATCACGGGAGAGCAAACTTCGCTAACTGCCTCTTACTAACTCTCATCAGCAAGATGGGAATATGGGGGGCCAGGCAAATCAGCGCGTAAGATTGTTATCTCGCATGTCAGCAGATAGGAGGACAGATATCCTAACACTCTGCGTAAGTCCATGAGCAAAGTCCTTCAACTGTTCAAGTAATTCTCCTCCGTTTACGCAATCCGAAGTTTCACCACCTTGTTCACAAAAGCCTGGCTTAAATCCCTGTCCGTAGTCACATGGATACATGTGGACACGTCTTTATGATTCATTTTAATATTATCCTCGCATCTCACTTAGGTATTCGTCTATATAGATCTCTCGACCTATATGTTGTTCGCAATTCTGATCTCTCCCTTGCATGCTATAAGCCCTGCTCATCTCATACTCATCATATTGGATGAGAAGCATACGTAATCTTCTAGGGAGTGACACCGTGTAGACTGGTAGAATTCACAGCTGTTTCGGTGGAACGTACTGCTTCCATTTTCACAAATTAACAGTAAACTAAGCAAGAAACTATCACGAAGGAGGTGACGAGTGGTGGGGAGGGGTGCGAGGTCAGAAATGTTTCAAAATAGGGCTCTTCTCAGAAATAGGAGCCCAGTCGATGGATGGCGGAGGCGTTCTCCTCCCCCCACGCCCGGACGTAATTAAGGATTAAGTGAGACGCTGTGCCCAAGCCCGCGGAAGGTGGGATTCCCATGCGAGTTGTGCTTTGATGTATCAGCTGCTTGTTTCTTCTATCTCGGAGCTTTAATTAACTGCAGGGAACTTGCGTGGAGCGCGCAATCAGCCATCTTGAGTCTGTCTGAAGCAGAGGTTGGCTGTGTGTTCCGTTGCCACTTTATGTACCTCTTGCTACGGACCTCGCAACAATCATTTAGCTTCCTGCTGATCTTGTAATGGTCTGCCAGAAGGAGTAACCTTTCTTCGCCCGGGATGTAGTTGTTATCCCTGTCACTGTGAAAGCAAAGCAAGAGTACTCGAATTTAGAAATTAAGTTTTATTCATGTAATGAATTGTAAAATTGTGGGAAGACCAAGACGTAGGTGAGTGGACAATATTAAAATGGATCCTAGAGAGATAGGATGGCATGGTATTGACTGGATTGATCTGGCTCAGGATAGGGACCAGTGGAGGGCTCTAGTGAACACGGCAATGAACCTTCGGGTTCCATAAAATGCTGGGAAGTTCTTGAGTAGCTGCATAATTGGCGGCTCCTCCAGAAGGGCTCAGCTCCTTGAGTAAGTAAGTAATGAAAGGTAAAGTTGTCCCCGTGCTTAACTAATTAAGCACTACACCATGAAGGTGTATGGGGGAGTGGATGTATAGATCCATGTTTTCTTGACCTAGGCACTGGCTGGAGGTGAGTGGTCAGCCCCGGGGAAAGAGCCCCCGGTACCCATTGGATAGGAGGTTGGGTGGAACCCAGAGCCGGTCTGAACGATATGGAGAAGACAAAATTCTTTCCCCCACCGGCACTCGAACTCCAACCCCTCGGTCGTTCATCCCGTAACCAGTCGCTATCCCGGCCCTTTCTACTCATGTAATATGAAACGTAAATTGGGAATGAGGATTAAAATCGCACCCGAGACCTCTATCACAACACTTACACATTGTTGTAACATCACAGTACGTACTGGTAACATCGCGGAGTTAATTTTGATAGTCTTTGGGTGTTCTCTGTTAGGTCCGCAGTGGGAAACAAGGAAAAGGGACAAGTCACATTCTTTTGTTTGCCGGACTGCTCGCTAGAGGTCAGCGTGCATCCGGAAGGTCCCGCGACCGGTCATCTCGACGGAGGTTTTCATGGTTTTCCCCTGTCTTCAAGCAAATTCTGAATTCATTTCAAAGTTCCCGCGTTGCTACTCCGCGCTTCTCATGCACCCCCCCCCAAGTTTTGAGTTCATAAAAATTAAGCCACATTGTTGTTGAAGCGACGGTATACACGTATTGTCACGTGATCGAGTGAATAAGGACGGGATTTGGATTGGTAACCGGATTTACTGGAACCTTAAACACCACGTGACTGCACTTCATGGTCACGGTCACGCAAAGGTTAGCGTTCTCAGCCACGGTCTTCACTGCGTGCTTGGTAACGGCTTCTAACATTGGATGTTCCTCTGCTTCCGGGCTCATGACCTCGCAGGCTGGCGGCCATCTCACACCAACCTCCTACTCTTCTAACTGCCGTCTCAAGACTCTCCCGTAATCACAGCTGATCCTCGTTATATGGCCCCGGCACGGGGCGGGCAGAAAACGTCGCTTCCAACACTTAACTCCATTGTTGCGTGTTACATAGCCGTTACCTAACGACTGCTGTTTCTCTGACTTCACAGTTTTTCTCTGAGCAAATATGCCACAATATATGAGTTTTCAATTTGTTTCTTGTTCGTTGGTCGGGTACGATATGTTTGACCGAGAAGATGACGACAATATACTCTCTCGAAGCGTCGGTGAGCGTCCACATGCGTCACGCGCCACAAGATTGATTGTGTGCTTCGCGATAAAGCATAGAGCGATTTGGTGACGTCAGCAGGATTACTCTGTTAGATGAAGCAAGATGGATGGTACCTGCGACAGCAGCGCCGCCACACCGGATGTCGCGACCTTCCCCCAAACTAATCCAATAATCCGATTGTCTCCTGTTTACAGGATTCCTCTCCGGCGAAACGACTGGGAATAACTGATTAGTGTATGTTGCATGACAGAAAGATATTTCGTGGCACTTACATGGCACACTACACCGCATAGTTCGTTGAAAAGTAATCCGACGTTTCGGAAGATCATTTTATTTCATTTTCTCAGGGTCGAAGAATGAGCCAAAAAAGAAACCAACCTGAAGCAGGCAGCAAACAGAGCTGATGTAGCAAGGCCGTAGGTTCGGAGGGGTTACTTTGTTGCCTGATGGACCTGTGCACAGAATATGGCGTAGGGAGGGCCAGAAGAAATAGGCGCAAGCTCCTGCTTGCTGTGAGGCTCGGCTGTAGCGGGGGGGGGGAGCCAGGCGCTGGCTGGAGGGGCAACACTTACTGGGAAGTTGTGCAACCACACTACTTCTCACGGTTCACAGTCTGGGAACCACCTCCCTAGAATATTTTTCTAAAACACCGTCACGTGATAACTGATAACAGTTCTTATATTCTTGCACGGCAGCTATGGGCACGGACCGCGTAGAAAATACCGCTTCCCACAGTTACTCCATTTTTGCTTGTTACACAACCGTTACCTAGCAATGACTGTTCATCTGGCTCCGCAATCCTGGCTTTCAGCATATATGCCACAATACAGTTCATTTTTATTGCTAATCAGATGTTTCATTATTTTTTCGAATATCCAGAATGGGGGAGGGGCAGATGCTTTGTGTTCCCCTCTCTCTGCTGGCGCCCATGCGGATGAACCCCTTCCTGTAAGAGTGCTCTTAGTGGTTGTGCACAAGTCGATGTGACGGAAGTCGACATAACTCGCAGGGAGACCGGAAGTGCCCTTATCTTGTTGCCGCGTACTCTTGAACACGTAACGGAAACACGAAAGCTAAATGTACATATCTCTTGTGAAATTTCCCTGCTCCTGTTGTTCACTGTCAGTTCTGTGTGCTAATGCGAGAGGCAGCTCAAAGCGAGGGACGAAGTAAACATATTATTGAGATAAACAGAAGACTTGTCTTGTCCTCGCATATGTCAACCGTTTCACATCGCAGATGACATATGTCAGTCTGTCCGAAACATCTGTGAGTGCACGTGACGCCTCGAGACATATGTCTGTCAGCCTGTCCGAAACATCTGTGAGTGCACGTGACGCCTCGAGACATGCGTCTGTCTGTCCGAAACATCTGTGAGTGTACGTGACGCCTCGAGACATATGTCTGTCAGTCTGTCCGAAACATCTGTGAGTGCACGTGACGCCTCGAGACATGTGTGTCTGTCTGTCCGAAACATCTGTGAGTGTACGTGACGCCTCGAGACATGCGTCTGTCTGTCCGAAACATCTGTGAGTGTACGTGACGCCCCGAGAAGTCCTGTGTGCTGGATTTCAGGTTATCTCAGTGGTGATTATGGAGGGTACGTTCGCCTGGATTGTAACGCCGTGTAGTTTGTTAGAATTCCACCGTCGTTTCGGAGGGATACACCGGCTTCATCTTCAGGGCAGAAAAGTAAGCATAGCAAGAAGAGAGAAAGGAGAGCCCAGAAATTTCTGATGTGCCGCTTTTAGCCCCCGCCTCGTGCAGAAGACAGAATGAAGACGTGGGGTCTGAGGGTTTTACGGCGGTGACTATGAAGAATGCCGTCTTCTGGGATGTGGCACTGTGTAGGTCTTGTGTGAACCGCAGTTTCGGGAGAACGTATCGCCTCCACCTTCAGGGTAGAAATATCCGCTAGCGAGGACCCACCGTGAGCAGCTGACTGCAGTCTGCATGTGTGGCAGTGAATGTATGGGCTGGACGTCTAAGATGAAATCTTTAGGATCTAACAAAGATCGCACTAGGAAGAGATAGAATATATTATTTTTTTCAATGGCTCTTCCATTTCACAGACGGTAAGACTCCTTGGACGGGGGATCAGCCCGTCGCAAGGCCGCTACCTACACACAGGACAACATAAACACAGACATCCATACATTCAGTGGGACTGGAACCCACGATCCCAGCGTCATGCCGTAGATGGCGCGGCCCCTGTGACCGGCGGAGTGGAGAGAACAGGAAAGGGGCACATAGGAATGGAATTGGGAATTTTCTCAGTGACCCGAAAAACATAAGAAAATCAGAGAAACGGAAGGCGCATCTTCAGGAAATAACTAGAACTCACATTCCTGAACACCCTACTGCTTAGGAAGAGGGACGTGGGGAGACAGAGCAAGAGATGCAGAGAAAGAGGCTATTTTCCAAACCTTAGAGAGAATTTGAAGGAAAGAAACTTTGATCTTGCGAAGGAACCTCCAGTGCTGTGTCTCTGAAACCTTTGTAAGTTGGCAGACGTTCGGAAAGCGCGGTCCA